TCGAAAGCTGCCCGCTGAGCTGTACTTCATTTCCTTTCCAACTCACTTCCCTACAACCTCAACAGAAAAAAAGGAAAGAAAAACCACACATCAAGGAATGGAAAATGTAAACATCTAATGCCAAACATTTGACCAAGTGGTAAGAAATGGTATAAGGCTCTTTCACTAGCAGCAAACATTTCTAATAATGAAACATTTGAAAATCTGCCTTGCCAAAGAGAGAACTGAGGACCAAATTATTACCAGTGGGTCAGAGGATTTAGAAGCAAAGAAGAAAAATAAATCAAAACACACACATGTGGACTACAAATTGTGGAATGTAGAAAATATGAAATGGTACACAAGATAACAATAAAAATAGACATGTAAAGCCATACCTACCGGTTCTAAGAGAATTCCAATACTCTGAGCCTCTAAATAGAGTTTCTCATTTATTTTCATATTCTCATACTGAAATTCTGCAACCATTCCAGGCACCAATGCTGGGCTGGAATGTTTACCATTTAAGGAATGGCTGAAATTTTGGTGAGTCCCAAGATCTTTTAATATATCAATTTCTGGATCCTCATTTTCTAGATTCATGGCTACGCTATGCCCATTGAAAGAAGTATGTCCAGCAGACTGAAATTTAACCATGTGACTAAAACCATTGGACACCAAATCCCCATCCAGTTCAAATCCAGTTCCATAAGCATCAGAGTAAAGGCCTTCATTTTCACTGCTGCAATCTTCCTCTGAAATTAAAGCTGCTATAAGTCTTTGATAGAGGGGAATTGCATTATGATCACTTGTCTCTAATAGTGACTGCTCGGTAAAATATTCAACGCTCTTCATGTCATTACTGCTACCATCAGCAACAAAAGAAACTGGCTTTGACACCAGTTTGGCAGGTTGATAGTTTTCCTGAAAGATACATAAAACATAGAGACAGTTAACATGGCTCCAACTCTCTCCACTCATTTAAATCTGCAGATAATCAAACTGACATTAATCTTTTCTCAAATGAAGCCCTGAACTTTTGACAAATAAAAATATGAAACAAGAATGTAAAAATGAATCCTTAGCTTAACTACTACTTTTACGTTTTGGAGATAATACTAATAGTGGGAGTTGTGTACCATGATCCACATTGACAAAGAGTAACAAAAGGGACAAAAACTGTAGATAAGGCACCAAAAATAAGATTATAAGTGCAGTACGGACACAGAGCTCATGATTTCAGGACTAAATATCTAAAATTCCAATGGTAAAACTTAAAGCTTGAATGAAATACCCACCGAAAGCAATTAATAAAACCAAAAAAAAAAAAGGGAGGGGAGGTGTTCTTTAATAAATATATAATCTTGTTTTTAACTCATACACTCAGACAAGAAATGTAAAATAAGAGATGATGTTTTGTCTGTCAGTTATATTCTGTTTAGTAAAAATATTAATTACAATTGCATATCCATTGAGGGGGCCAAGTCTATTCTGATAGGCTTAGGAAAAAAGGACACTACCAATTGATTTAGATATGTAATATCTGCATCTGATATGAAACCAAGAAACGGCTCCATCTGCTTCCAGAATAAGCTGGAAAAGGCACAAGCTGCAAGGACAGTTAAATCAATCAATTCCATAAAGGAAAACACTTGGGCTAAAATGGACAAAACTTTGGCAACAAAGGACCCCATCAATCCCATATAGAATATTACCAGAACTAATAGCAGCATTCACAGCAGCCACCAACTCTTCATGTCCATCATCTGAACCAACTAAAGAATTTTTACCAGCATGGATCATAAGCCACAAAAATTAAGAAATGGAAAATTTTTTTATTAATCACTTGAAGTATAACCACCTAGAAGATCTGCCGCAGCACTGACAGCAGCATGTTTTTGACGTGTATAGGCCTTGCGGTCAGAAAGTTTTCTTGTTGGAGGGCGACCTGCCTTGCTGAACAAAATATTCATAGAACCATGAGAAACCAATAAAAAGTATATGAATTTTGCTGCACCACAGTTAAGGTATATGTTAGATAACCTTTCAGCTTTATCAAAACCAAGCCTAGAAGTTCTAAGCTGTTTTGCTGTTCCCACATTGCTAATTTTTTCAACAGTCATTGGCATAAGAGACCGTGTAGAAGGAAATCCCCGACCAGTCCTCCCCTGTCGCCGTACACCATCTCCAAGGTCTTCCCCAGTAATGAGCTTATTCTTCCTGGATGGCAGGACCAGTGTGGACATTTTTTGAACATTTTGCCCAGCTTTCTCATCTAACTCATCAGACTTCTTCACCCTCTCTTTAGATTTTATTTCAGCAGCCCCAGACTCTTCACTTTCAGAGAGTCCAGCCGAGGACAAGTTGTCACTCTTCAGTTTAATTTGTTGAGGAGAATTGCTATGCAAGCGTCTAGCAATTCCTGACCCAATTTCATTACCTGTAACATCAGATACAGTATCCAAAGATGGAGCTTCATCATTATTTTGAACTATAGGAACAATATTTGTTCTTCTTGCAGTACGAGACATCTTCTGTGGTCTCTGGCCAGCCCACTGGGCAACAGGTGGTGAGCGCTTACGATTGTTAGTTCCACCAGCGGTAGATGGTTTGTTTGTACAATTAGAAATCTCCCAATCTCTATTGACAACTGGGGAAAACTTTGGTCCAGCACCAGAACCTGATCGTGGACCACGAATAGATGGATTCATTTTCGTGCTTGAAGTAGGACTAGCTGAATTATATTCATCACGAAAACTCATCCTGAGATTACAGAACAGAACATTTATATTCAACATGCAAGGCATAAAGCAATCTAATGTGAGAAAAGAAATGTCTTGAAACTTTCAGGGCACTGCAGCCAAAAATAAAAAATAAAAAAATTCGAAGGGAACCAGAGTCAAATGAATGGTAGGCAGAGCTAGAGAAGCAATCTTCAGCTGAACAACTAAAAGAAAGAATGAAACTAAACAGAAAAGAAAATTAAGGAAGTATATATCAAGGATGCTATGCATACTTATTAATGGCCCTCAAATTCACATTCACCCTTTCTTTATCTGAACCAACCAGACGATCTCTCCTATCGCTAAGAAGGGAACTGTTTTCCAGATCGGTCCTAGGAGTGGGTCCACGCACACTCGAGCTTGTCTGTTGTGAGACTACATCTAATTTTCCAACTCCAACAGATCCATTAGCTACTCCTGGCCTACAGTGAGATGAAAATTGTTTATATCTCAGAAATGATATTTCATATAGGTATCAGAAAACAAAGATTGTAGAAAAGATTTGATTCATAAAAAGCTCAAGAGAAATTCACAAAGGCAATACACCATAAAGAGAAATAACATATCTCCTAATAGCCAAGATGATGATTGTTCTTTTGCAAGAGGATGCTTTGCTCGGTGAAATCCTAAATGAGATTACTTTCCTATTGTTTAATAGCAGGCTTGGATCTCAATCCAAGCATAATTAAACTTGAAAAAAAAAAAGAAAAAGAAAGAAAGAAAGTATGCAGTCACTGCATGCATAGTAAGGTTGCAGAAGAACATTGATATTTACTACCGGAATCATTATTATCAAGACTCTCCCTAATCCAACAGATATGTCAGCCGCAGGGTCATATCAATCATAGAAACGTTTGAAATTACTACACTCAAGAATTTTACTATTTATTATTTATAAATTAAAAAAAAAAACAAAACACTTCCATTGCAACAAAAGGGCATTAGTTATGTGTCCTCCTAGAGTATTCAAGTATATCCATCATAGGCGTATGCACAGACAACATTTAGAAGTTTTACCTGAAACCATGGGAGTCATTATTTAATCTAGATCGGGCATCAGCAATGGGCCTGTGCTGCATTCCCTGTTTAGATTCTCGGAACCCTTCAATTGGTTTAGTTGCTGCCATATTTGGAGAAACATCCGCTCTTTTACCAGTACGCTTTTTTTTCATCTTCGACTTTTCCCAACCATCAACACCAATTGATGGAGTTCGATCCTCACCTAGTACTGCAGCACTATTTGCGACCCTAGGCAATTCCTTATCTCTATCTACAGCACCAGATGGCCTGACAAGAGCATTGTTCCGCATATCCATCTGATATTCATGAGAAGAAATGTCAATCTTCAACTAAAAGAATAATTAAGAATGAAACTGCAGGCCATGCAAAAATGCAAATCAAGCCACATCTCTGTATGGGGAACTAAAGATATCACACCATACGGTAAGAGGATATAAAACACAAAACTAGATTCAAACAATGATATCTTACATAGGGAAAGTTTTTCCACCACAAACACAAACCAATAACTCATACGACTGACAGTTTATAAGAAAAACTACTGCTATTTAAATTGAATAACCTATGGAGTAGTAGAAATTAACTCTAACTCTAAGTGGGCTTAAACTTTGAGGAATTCAGGAGTAAGAAAGAAGAGCATAAATATTAATAATTATAACTAAACAGGCAAATAACATCCATATCTAAAAGTAAATATAATACATAGAAGTCATGAGGTAAATGAGCTATCAATATACAATATTAAATGGGATTACAATATCACCAACTGTGTCAAAGGAAACACGGGCAAGGAGGAAAGAATGATACAAACCCTCACATCTGCCATAGAAGTTCGAGTCCGTTTATTTGGGACAGCACTTTTAGGCCGTTCATCTGACTTCTGTTGCTCAAATTCAAAATTTCCATTAATCACATGATTCTGAATTCCCATCTTACCAAGGGTAAGACCCAACATTGACCTCTCACTAGATAATGAGGCATTAGAACGGTCAACTGAAAAGCCTTCCAATCGAGATCTCTTCTTTGAGGGAATGGCTGGGAAAAACTTGTTGAATACGGATAAGGCTTCACTGAAAATCTTCACTCGTTCCCTGTTATGTAATTAAATTTAATAAATAAACACAAATGAATCCAAATTGCAAAATTTCACAAGAACTACCTGGCCTTGATAGTGCTCTCACGCAAGCCATGCCTGACCCGTTTTATTTCTTCTGGTGTGGGAGATGATAACAGCTTGCCCTTTGATGAACCAGTAGAAGGTTCATCAGCTGAAATACCGAGTGCAATATTCAAGAGCTTTTTGAAGTCTCCTTGACGATTAGACTTATGATTAGCAGCAACTGCCTTTGTATCAAACCGCAGGCACTGCAGGAAACTGGACACATCTCCTTGAGTTACTACAGAACTACTTCTCGACATATTTGGAAGAGAAGCCAAGATTGGAGTCTCAATGCTCTCGCGGAAGGTACTTGATCTGTCCAACTGAGAAGCTAAGTGGGATACACGCTGTCCGCTAGAGTATAAAGCCCTATCTGGGCTACCAGAAGACAGATCAAACTTGCTAGATGTTGCCATTGCATCAGATTTTGCACCTCATCTGTATTATGAACCCAAAAATTACAGTGGTGCATGACAAAATTGTGGTGCAACAGCACATAAAGGCCAGTTTTCAACTCTTACAGACTCGGTAGAATGCACCTGTAAACGAGAAAAATAAAGAACAAATACCTACACCAAAATTAATTTTTAATTTTTATATCATACTCCAAAATCAATCACAAGTTCATGGCTTCAGGTGCTCAATGCTCAAGTCAAAACATGAGTAGCATAAAACTTTTCAATAAGTTCTCAATATGTTTATCAATTTCCATAAAGAAAAATCTAGAATCAGAAACTAAGCTGTTCACCTCCTGCACCCGAAAAGATTCAAATAAGTGAGCAATAACTTCAAAAAATAGGAAGCTGCCTGGTTTATTCAGATAATTATAAAATTGATCGATTGATACATGGTTTCTGCTGTAGTAGCCAGTAGGATCCCCATTTACATTTTAATATGACCTATCTCACATTTGTCATTAACTTTTCAACCCATGATCACCTATAACCGAAGCTGCAGCCGGGTTTACTTTCCACTTCAACTTATCCCCCAGCTAAAATAGCAACTATTCCCAGTGCAACAAAAACATATTTCTATATTTTAAATCCATCCTATATCCCTAATCATTCACATATAGTAACAGCTCTACAAACTTAAAAGCTTAAAAACCCTATTTCCCTTCTAAAAACCCTATTTCTTCACATCAATCTCACTTCATTCCTCCAAAAAATAAAAAATAAAAAATAAAAAATAAAAAATTTAAAAAAATGGTAAATAAATCACAAATTGAGCAAAATAAAAAAATTACAGAAACCCTAGAAACTCAATCAACCCAAACATATAAGCAGGAAACTAGAATCTGCAATCTATGAAGAAAAGAAATAACATGTAAATTACAGAAACGAACCCTAAGATTAAAATCTGAGGAAAAATAAATCTACCTTGAATCGCGAAAATGATGAAGCAGAATCGATGAGTTTAGCTAGAAAGTAAGATTAATTGGATTGATGATTCGAGAATTGATTTTAAGTAATTAGTTTGAAGCAGGAAATCAAACATGGATTGTTCGTACAAAGCCATGGAGGACGAGGCGCCGAGTTTTGATCGGCAATGGAGTTGGCCGCTTTAAGTTACTGTTTTACCCATGTATCTTTGCATTTGGAAGGGAAAATTGGGACTCCAGATGTGGGGTGTTTTTTGGAAAAAATTGTAAAAATGTCGAGACGGCGTCCGAGGCAGGTCCCAGTTTTTACTACTTGCTAATAATTCTTGCAGTCCGTCCTGCATTTGTAAACATCATTTATGGCCTCTTTGGTTTGAGTTCGTTGTTTTGTTTTACTGTCTGTATTGTATTAAATTGTATTATTTTTTGTTCAAAAAAAAAAAAATTTGTATTATTTTTTTTAAAAATAATATTTTTATTTGTTTTAACTTAATTCATTAAAAGAAATGTTACTGAATTATTTAAGTAGTAGATATTAATACTACTAATATCTTTAAGATTAAGACTAGTGTGAAAAATA